ATTTGGGGGCTAGAAGGGACACTTAGAGGACATCTACTCCAACTCTCAGCCAGTTGGGGATTCCCTTCCATAACATCCCTGAAAAAACAGTAACCCAACTTCTACTTGAACCATGCCAGTGAAAAAAAGGCAACCCATCCCAGTTTTGACTGATAATCATGGTCAAAAAGTCCCACTTTATACTGAACCAGAATACATCTCCTGCTGTTTTATGCCCTTATTTTGCTCTAGTGTTTACCTCTACAATTACATGGGCTTTTGGCGGGGTTTGTTGTTGTTGTTGTTGTTGTTGTTGTTTTGAGACAGAGTCTTGCTCTGTTGCTGGGGCTAGAGTGCCATGGTGTCAGCCCAGCGCACAGCAACCTCAAACTCCTGGGCTCAAGCAATCCTCCTGCCTCAGCTTCCTGTGTAGCTGGGACTACAGACATGCACCACCATGCCTGACTAACTTCTATTTTTAGTAGAGACAGGGTCTTGCTCTTGCTCAGGCTGGTCTTGAACTCCTGACCTCAAGCAATCCTCCCACCTCAGCCTCCCAGAGTGCTAGGATTACAGGTGTGAGTCACTGCGCCCAGCCTCAATTACAAAGGTCTAATCTGTACACTCCAAAGTCAGGAAGATAAGGGTTCCTCTTTCCCAGCAATTAGATAGTTGCCAACTTTGTTCTAGCAATCTGTGGGACTTCCATCACTTTTCCTCCTGCTGGAGATTTGTTGTGAAAGGGCCAACTTTGAGTTACAGTTGAATCAAAGGCTGGAAGGGAACTTGTTGGCTATTGTAAGAGACTACTCTTTCCACTTCGTCCTGAGCCCTGGCTTAGGCTAATAAAAAATGTGTTCTGGGGCTTTGCAGCAATTATTTCCACAAAACTTTTCTCTACAGATACTGGAGAACTCTATTATGAGAACTAGGTTTGGTGATTTAAAAGGCTACTGTGGGATTAGGCACAGGATGCTTCAACATAGGCGCCCAGCTCAGCCTTGGAAGGTAAAGGAAGGTGTCTGGAGGAAGTCATGTCTCTGCTATAGCCTAAGGACGAGTAGGAGTTAGGCACTGAGGGGAGAGGGAGCATGTGGGAATGGAAAGTGGCAGGAGGTAGGGCATATCAGCTAAGAATGTGCTTGGCTCCAGGTAGCAGCACACGGAGCCAACAGTGGCCTTAAGCAGCAGAGGCATTTAATGATCTTGCATACACACCCTGCCCTGCCACAGCAGACGGTTTCAGAATGCGTGCAGTGTGAAAGAGCCAGGTCTCCACCACTCCACGCTGCTTCATGCTTGGGCCTGTCAAGGCAGCTGCTGCCATAGCATTAAGCATCACATCTTCCCCAACCATGTTCAAGACAGTAGAAAGAAACAGGCTTCCTCACTATTCTTTTCATCAAGGAGCATATTTTTTTTCTTCCAGAAGCTCCCCAGGAGACTAACTCTTGAATGCTGATTGGCAGCAATGGGTCAGATGCCCATCCTGAAACTACTTAGCAGTAAGTGGGAATGGGGTTACCACATTAGATGTGGACCAATCATGGTTTGTTCCCCAGGCTAGGAGAGGGCCCAGCTTCCCTGAGAGCCACCTGAACAAAAGTGAGGAAGCCATGGGGGGAAAGGTGTTGTGTGGATAGCCAGAGTGTCTGCCACACAGAGGATGTGCTGAGAGATAAAGGTGACAGATCATGAGAGACCTTGATGACTTTATGGAGTGTGGACTTTAGTCTGAGGGTGAGAGAGATTTGTCTCATGGTTTCCTCATAATCTGATTCATTGTACAAGTATTCCTGTGCTTTTGGCAGGAATGTAGCATAAACGCAGTTGTGTCTCACTGCATCACAACAGAAGACACATGGTGGCAATCTGTGCTTTGTTTGTGATGTTAACTTTGATCATTTGATTCAGGTGTCCATCTCAATTAAGGAACCATTCTATAAAATAATTAGTATGGGCTCTTTAAGACTGCCAATGTCACAAAATCAGAAAAAAAAAAAAAAAGGCTGAGGTGGGAGGGTAGCTTGAGGTCAGGAGTTCAAGGCTGTAGTGTGTTATGATTGTACCTGTGAATAGCCACTGCACTCCAGCCTGAGAAACAGTGAGGCCCTATCCCCCACCTCCAAAAAACAAAAAAAACAGGCTGAGTTGAGGAACTATTCCAGATTAGAAATAAAGAAACATAGCAACTGGCCAGGCACAGTGGCTCACGCCTGTAATCCTAGCACTCTGGGAGGCTGAGACAGGTGGATTGCTCGAAGTCATGAGTTCGAGACCAGCCTGAGCAAGAGCAAGACCTCATCTCTACTAAAAATAGAAAGAAATTAACCGGACAACTAAAAGTATATATACATAAAAAATTAGCCAGGCATGGTGGTGCATGCCTGTAGTCCCAGCAACCCAGGAGGCTGAGGCAAGAGGATCCCTTAAGCCCAGGAGTTTGAGGTTGTTGTGAGCTAGGCTGATGCCAAGGCACTCTAGCCCAGGCAACAGAGCGAGACTCTGTCTCAAAAAAAAAAGAAACATAACAACTAAATATAACAAGTGATATTAGATTGGCTCTAAGATTGAGGGGAAAAAATTGCTACAAGGGTCATTATTGGAAAAAGTGAAATTTGAATATAAACATAACTACCTTATAATTATTTGTTATATTATTAAGTGTTATAATTAACATAGTAATTATTATGGTAAATATTTAATAATATTGAATTAATTTTAAATGTTCTGAATTTAATGACTCTATTATGGTTATATAAGAGAAGTTCCTTGTTTTTCAGAGATATATACTGATGTAATGAGGAATAAAGAGGCATAATGTCTGCGATTTACAAATGACTCAGTAATAACTTGTTATTACTATGATATAAACATATAATATATATGAGAGAGATAAAGCAAATGTGACAAATTGTTCACACAATTGGTGAGTCTAAGTAAAAATGTATAATGATATTCATTAACCTCACATATTTTTGCAACTTTTCTGTAGGTCTAAAAGTTTTTATGGGAAAAAAAAAGAAATATGTAGGAGGCAGATGTGATGTGACTTGGTAACTAACTTCCTAGAAGCCAGTAATTAATCTGTGGTGGATGATGAAACCTTAAACTGAGAAGTAGAGAGGAAAGTAGAATCTGAATCTGAAGTGAGGAGGAGCAGGGAAATAACAGGTCTTATACATATTGAATTAAGTGGGAGCTAATGAGATGCCAGGTGGAGGATCTCAGTAACAGTCTAAATTATCAGGAGTCAGGAACAAAGTGAAACATGCAGCTTAGGGTTGGCAACCTATGGTTGAAGCCAAGAGCTTGTGAAATCATTTAGAGGATGTGTATGGAGGGAGGCAGAATCTTAGGCTCACCAGCATTTAAGGTTCAGGTCTAGAAGCAAGAACCAAACAAGAACCGTCACGCTCATAAGCAAACCAGCTATTTCATTCAGTGTTCTTATGAAAATCATCATCAGATTTGCAATTTTCTACCACTTTAAATTTGTTCCTAGAGACACTCTTCTTGTTAACTTCTCTCTAGATGTGGGATTATTAAACTTTTGCCAACATTTTCATTTGGAAGCATGATATAGTAAGAAGCCTACAAATGCATTTTGACATAAGTACACAAAACAAAGGTATGCTGTATGCTACAATTAGTACAGTCATCACAGCTTAATTCATTCCTGAAAACAATTCTCAGATCAAATGAGCTTGTATTATATTATTTTAAATGAGAAAATAAGAATGTATTCCAAGCCTGTCCAAAAACTCTAACCAATTTCTCCAAATATCACTAAAACCCTCTTAAACACCTATAAAACAATCCTCCAAACACCTCGGCATAATATGAACATTTAAACATGAATCACCTATTTAACACTAAATGAACTTCATAGTGATTATGTTTGCAAGCAAAACACAATGATATGAACTCTACTGAATGAGAACTAAATATTCTCTCTAACCTGAAACAAACATATATATAAAGCAAACAATACAATAATGTGTTAAAAATATATAATTAATGCAATAGGATTTAGCAAACTAAAATACACAAACAGGGTCATTTTTTAAATGATTACTTATGGAATGATTCTGGTAATGGAAGACTAGGGCACCAGACAACCCTCCCACTAAACAATAATTAGAAAAGTGGACAAAATATCTAATCAAAGATAAGAGAGAGCTAATGAGTAAACACCTACCAGGCCAATATCCAAAAGAAAAGAGAACATAAAAGAGTGAGCCCAGCACTTAGGACTGCTTACTGATTCCAGAACAGGTGGTTGAGAGTCTAAGCACGTACTTTTGACATCCTCTCAGGAGTCCATGGCCCTCCAAGGATGAGGAGTCTTGGTAAATGCCCGTTATATTAGTCAGGGTGCTCCAGAGAAACAGAACCAATAGGAGATATATATATAGATGTAGATATTTAGATATATATAGAGAGAGATAGAGACAGACAGAGAGAGACAGAGATATTAATAGATATCTCTCTTTCAGCCCCACACCCCAACCTCCAGGGAAGGGAGAGGGGCTGGTTATTAAACATTTACCAGCACACTAATGATTACTATTTTCTCTTCCTGGATAATGCAAAGGCTTTAGAATACCATAATTCTATTATCCCTAATTTGTATCTTTTGCTGCTTTCTATGGTGCACATTCTCCCATCATGGCCACTTTCAAGCTACCAACATGAGGCTACTGAACATGGAGTTGGGAATAGATGGGTACCATCGATTCTCCTGAGTCAGTATGAGCCAACTTCAGCATACCTCTGAATTAGTCTTTGAAAATGGAATAATAAAAAATAATCAATCCAAAAGAAGGCAAGAAAGGAGAGAAAAATAAATAGAATAGGCAGAACAAAAAGAAAGCATATAATAAAATGGTTAAATTAAACTCTAATATATTACTAATTGCTTTAAATGTAAATGGACTTGATATTCCAGTTAAAAGACAAATATGCTATAAAAATAAAATGCAACTATATGTTTTTATGGGAAACAATCTGACACTTACCCGGCAGGGGAGATACCATGATCATGAAGGTGGTTTTCCCAGGGTGAGACTTATCCACTGTATTCCAGATGAGCTGACCTGAGATTTCCTCAAATGTGGGAAACTTGGGAGAAAAAAAGAAACAATCTAAAAACATAAGGTCACAGAAAAGTTGAAAGGAGATAAAAAGATATATTAGGCAAATACCAACAAAAAAGAAGCTAGTATAGCTATACAATTGATTCTTGAACAACATGGGAGTTGGGGTACCAACTCCCCAGCACAGTCAAAATCCACATACAATTTTTGACTACCCAAAAACTTAACTACTAATAGCCAACTCTTCTATTGGAAACCTTACCAATAACGTTGATTAACCCATATTTTGCATGTTACATATATTATACATTGTATTCTTACAATAAAGTAAGCTAGAGAAAAGAAAACGTTATTAAGAAAATTAGAAGGAAGAAAAAATATATTTACCATTCATTATATGGAAATGGACCATCAAAGTCTTCATTTTTAATGTCTTCATACTGAGTAGGCTGAGGAGGAAGAGGGAGAGGAGTTGGTCTTGCTGTCTCAGGGGTGGCAGAGGCAGAAGAAATCTGCATATAAGTGGACCCATGCAATTCAAGCCCATGTTGTTCAAGGTCAACTATATTAATATTAGAGAAAATAAATATTAAAGTATTATTATTAATATTATTATTATTATTTCATAATGATACAACATTCAATTCATCAGATATTCTATTATAGACAGGTACCTATAATATAGTCTCAAAATATATAAAGAAAAAAATTATAGCATTAGAGTAAAAATAGACAAATCCACAATCATATGGGATATATTAACACAACTTTCTTAGTAACTGAAAGAATAAACAAGCAAAAACAAATCAATAATTAAGATAGAAATTGCACAAGTAAGGTAGAAATCAATAACAAAAATAGAACTTAAAACTGCCATGTTTGGAAATTTAAAAAATATAAATTCTACACAAACTCTTCCAGAAAATTAAAGAGCAAAGAATACTTCTGAATCCATTTTATAAGGTCAGAATTATCATGATACCAAAACTAGAGATTACATAAAAAGTAAACTACAATTCTTCATAAGCATAAATGAGAAAATTCTTAAACAAAATTTTAGCAAATTGAATACAATAATAAGATATAAAAAGGATAATACATCAAGTGGGACTTTTCTCAGGAATGCAAGTATAGTTTAATACTCTAAAATAAATCAATATAAAAACAATAAAACTTCTAAAAATAGGAGAAAAGCTATGTGACATTGGGTTAGGTAAAGATTTCTTAGATATGACACCTAATAAATGGACTTGCTCAAAATTAAGAACTTCAGCTCAGTGCCAGGTGCAGTGGCTCACATCTGTAATCCTAGAACTCTGGGAGGCTGAAGCAGGAGGATCACTCGAGGTCAGGAGTTCGAGACTAGCCTGAGCAAGAGCGTAATCCCATTTGTACTAAAAATAGAAAAAATTGGCTGGGCAATTTAAAATAGGAAAAAAAATTAGCCAGACATGGTGGTGCACACCTGTAGTCTCAGCTACTTGGGAGGCTGACGCAGGAGTATTGCTTGAGCCCAGGAGTTTGAGGTTGCCGTGAACTAGGCTGATGCCATGGCACTGTAGCCTGGGCAACAGAGCAAGATTCTGTCTCAAAAAAAAAAATATATATATATATATATATAAACTTCTGCTCTTTGAAAGATATTAAGAGAGTGAACAAAAAGAGAAGCCACAGATTGGTAAAAAAAAAAAATATTTGGATATAATAACTTATGACAATCAATTTGATAAAATATTTCTAAATAATTTCCACAATTTATCAAGTTCTTTTAGCATGTCAAAAACTATGAAGCACTTTACATAGTCTATTTTATTTTTATTTATTTTTTATTTTCTTACAGTACTTTTGTTGTTTAATACATTGTCCATTTTAATCCTTAGAACTCTAGGAAATGGGAACTATTATCCTCATTTTCCAGATAAATTTAGAGAAGTTGACCAACTTGACAGTGGATATAGATGATAAGCTGCATAGCCAAAATTTAAATCCCATTATATCTAGTTCCATAGTCAATTAACTCTCTTAACCACTCCATCATACTATCTTTTAATTAAACTAATCTAACCTTGCATAACAACATGTGAACATGTGCTAGAAACAAAATGTGTAAGAAGTGGCCCTGGGCTCCAGGAGATATACAGGCTAGTGGACTACAGATTTCACTTATCATCAAATTAGATAACAGTACATGCTATTCATAAGTATGCTTGTGTGCTTGTCTTGTAAGTATGGTATTTTGTGATAGTATGCTATTTAAAGACCACCTGAGACTACCCTATGCCCCTAGATACCCCATAAACTGGTCCCATCCCCGATCTGTGGAAATGAACTGGATTAGCAGCCCAGAGTGGAAAAATCCACATGCATTTTTCAGTTCATCTGTACTGAATTGTACAAAGTCCTTTCTATAAAAAGCTTTCCCCACTGGGACCATACTCAGCAATAAGGACAATATCAAAGCATAGGATCATTATTAACACAGAATATGCATTTATCTTTTTGTCTCTTTGCTTACTTATAGCTTTTATAGGCATTGATTCAATAATATTTCCAACAGTCTTTGTGGTGAGTAGGTGGCAGGCATTAGGGGCAGACAAGCATTTAGTGTTCAATGATACAGCTGGTGGCATGAACAAGAACCAATCTTCTTACTCTCCAGATCCACATTCTAGTTATTAAATCAAAGCTCTCTTGAGCAGAAGGAAATCCTCAGGCCTCTGCAAACATGTAATTTTTCTAAACTATGATTGGTTATGTTCCTAATGTATCTATCTATACAAGCCCCATCTCTCGTTATCAACTAGAGGTAACCTCTGTTGTCCTTTGACATCCCAGACTGTTTCTTTCATTCATTCACACTTTCATTCAACAAACATTGACCAGGACTTTCCAGGTTCAAGGCATTGTGCATTTCTTTGCATTTAAAATTATTTGTGAGCCAGGTGTGGTGGCACACAACTGTAGTCCCAGCTACTCAGGAGGCTGAGGTGGGATCATTTGCACTCAGTAATTTGAGGTTGTAGTGTGTAATGACTGCACTTGTGAAAGCCACTGCACTCAAGCCTGGGCAACATAGCAAAACCCCATCTCTACAAAGAAATTAAAATAATTTATGGACTGGTCTTATCCTAGTTTCAAAGTTCTTTGAGGACAGAGGGATTTTAATCTACCCTTCTTCACACTTCACAAAATGCTTAACACAATACCTAGCAATTGGTGAGTACTCATTAAATATCTGATGGCTTGAATCTTGACCAAATTCCAGTTCAAATCCAATCAGTAAAACACACAAAGCTATCCCATGGCAGTGTCCAATCCCTCCCTCTCTTTCCCACTTCTAAGTATTACCTTCCCTGGTACTAATTTTTCAAAAGGCAGAGTCCTCATTTTGAATACATCAGTATCATTATACATGTCTAAAAAACAAGCACTAAGTGTAACTCACCTTCCTTGGAATACCACTCTTATACCAGGGTATGATGGTATAATACAAAAGGCCAGAGCAGAAGGAAAGCCCTGACCCTGCCTTGTTTCAAAACCTTCAAGTCTCAAAATACTGTGGTCTTGTTTCCTCAGTTACAGAATAAGGCAGATTAATTTAAAGATCCCCATTTAGAGCTAACATTCTATCTCCTGGAATGACTCATAAAATATGAAATGAAATGTATCAAATGGTAAGCTTTAGTTAGGCTAAATTGAAAAATACTGATTCAAAAGATAGAACCAGAGATTAATAGTAAATGTCTGTTATTTTTCCAGGGCTAACATTTCTTGTCATTTATCATAAAGAGTCTGGTATTAATTTGTATGTGTTATTCTCATCTACCCAGATTATAAACTTCTTCAAAGAAGAAAGTGTACTTTGTAAAGAGGTGGGATCCAAATAGGATACTGTTGGTACTTCAGCTCTGGGTACCAACTCCATATTCTTGGGGACTGGTTCCTGTAACTTGCAGACACATGAGGAATCCTTGCTTTCTGTGCATGCTGTCCTTCCGTTGCCAAGTTGTGTCTCCAAGGTGTAGTTAATCTATAATGATCTTTTCACTTTCTCTGTCCTTGTTACTCTATGACCAAAGACTTTGTCACTAAGGGGAAGTTAAAACCAAAGATTTCTGGTGCATTAGTGCTCCAATGGACAGCGAGATTCACTAACCCCAAAGAACACAGTGTGAGTCTGAAATTTGGAGTTTGACAAGTTCACTTTTGTAAGCATCACCTTACAACCAAGTATTGGAATCAAACATGTAAACCACGAAAGGGAAAGAAACACGTCCTTGGTTAGCCACCTGTTAAGGGGGGACAGGGGATGCTACTACAAAATTTCTGTCGGTTCCAGGGTAGCAGCCTAGTTGGAAGTGGGGTTCAGGGCATTTCTTACAAGATGCATCCACACAGCAAGACACTATCTTCACATGTACAGGGGGAATTTATAAGTTCCCCCAACTCTCCTTTCCTGTGGTGCCATCTTGGGAACAGGGCACAAGTGATTCTGACCAAGGAAGGGTCGAGAAGTTTCCTGGGGAGTTTGAGGGGCTTTCCAGAGAGGGAGCATGGAGGCGCGCTAAGGTCGACCGCCTCCGCCCGGGCTCTCCGAAAGAAGAAAACCTTAGTAGTTCATCAGGTCCACGAGCCCCAAAAGGCCCCAATCCTCAGTTAACTCATCTCCTGACAAAAGCACTTGTGAAACCGCCAAAGCTCCAAACCTCGGCTGGCAATTCTGAGGAAATGTTTCGAGGAAAGGAGTAAGACATCCACGCCTTCTTTCCAACACCTAGCGTTTTGGGGCGCCGCCTCTGAGCAGCCACCACAGCCGACCCTCCCCCGCCACAGCCGACCGCTCGCCCGAGCTGTGCGCATACGCAGACCGCGCGGGCGGCCGCGCTGCGCAGGCGCCGTGGCCATTTCCGGGATCTGTCAGCCGCTCCCTCTGGGCCTCGGTCCTCCGCCCGCGCCCGCGGAGCCCGTTCGCGTCGACTGACCAGAGTCCGCGAATTCTCCGCTCCGATCCCGTCCGGACTGTTCCCACCCCAGGTAAGGGGTAACAGGAGCGAGCGTCTCGCCCTGTTGGCCTCCACTGCCCCGACCTGACACCGGACTTGGACCTGCGGGGGCGGTGAGGCGGGGGCTTAGGCCGCGAGGCCGAGGGGCCGGCCGGGTCTCCCTACGCGGGCCTCCTGAGGGGCGGGGGATCCTCGTTCTCTGTGGGCCCTGTGAGTGCCTTGGGTTCCCACCGAATGATGGCTTTTCTTTAGATTTTCGAGCTCCAAGCCTCTCCGCTGCCAGAATTAACGGCTCCTTCTCCTGCGCCCCCATAGCCCTATTTGCACCTCACCTATGGGCATTTATCATAGTCGGTAAAATTGTGTTAAGCAGAATTATCTCCCCCTAATCAAGCGTCACAAGGGATCATTCGTCTCTTTCTTTTGCTTTTAGAATAGGTCCCTGCACACAGTAGGCGCCCATGCAATGTTTGTCTCCAGGGCAGCCCTCAGTCCTTCATTTATTGAGGGACCTTCGCCAACTCGAGAAAAACCTTCCCCAGAGTTCCTCAAGATTCCCCCTCAAGACTGCCGCCTGCCCCCAAGTCAAAATTGCACCCTTCTCTGCGCTCCTGTTCGCTTTGTGGAACCTTTTATGTAGGACTGCCAAAGTGCCAATCCTGACACCACCACTTTGTTGGGTGACCCTGGCAAAATTGCTTCTCTGTGCCTGTGTTTCCTCATCTGCAATAAGAAGATTCTTGGTGGTTTCTTGGGGCTCAAATGAACTTATTGGCATAAATTACTTGAAATAGTTCCTGACCCAGAACAGTTTTTCAATACACATTAGCTATTATTGCTGCTTCTGTGTGGGCATTCTGTGCATTATCTATCTTCTCTCCCCCCCCACCCGCCTTCCCCCGGCCACCAGACTTGCGGACCAGAATGGTGTCAGATTTATGTTTCTGGCCCCAACCCGGTATTTACAACACTGCTGGGAACATGGTAGGCACTTAATAAATTGTAGCTTAGAATCTTTGATTATGAAGCCATCTGTTCTCATACTTCAATTTTGGAACCTTCTGTCTTCAAGTTATTGCTTCGATTACCGAAATTATCATAGTTCTGCCCTTTTTAAATCAGTTTTATCTAATCTTTTGGTTTCACTTAAGCCCTGGGTTTTCAGGTACCTAAAAACAAAGTGGGCCGGGGTAGGTGGCTCACATCTGTAATCCTAACACTCTGGGAAGCCCAGGCGGGTGGATCGCTGAAGGTCAGGAGTTTGAAACCAGCCTGAGTAAGAGCGAGACCTCGTCTCAACTAAAAACAAAAAAAAAAAGAAAGAAAGAAATTAATTGGCCAACTAAAATATATAGAAAAAATTAGCCGGGCATGGTGGCGCATGCCTCTATTCCCTCCCAGCTACTCAGGAGGCTGAGGCAGGAGGATCGCTTAAGCCTAAGAGTTTGAGGTTGCTGTGAGGTGTGCTGACACCATGGCACTCTTGCTGGGGCAACAGAGTGAGACTCTGTCTCTCAAAATAAATAAACAAAAATAAAGTGGAGGATGTCAGTCAGGAGAGTGTTTTTGCCCTGTTAGGGAGTGTGGTAACTGTTTGGCTGCTTCCTACCACAAAGTATTCTGAGACCTTCTCTGGTTCATCTATTAATCGCAATTAAAGGAGGGGATCATTTTGGAAAATTAAAACTCCTGCTTCAGAGGGAGAATGGCAGTATTTTGATCAAGTTATCTGATCCTGTTCTGAAAGAAACCCTGCATAAAGACGGTTAAAATGGTCTGCTGGTGAGGCTGGTGCCTGGAATTGGAGCCTGTCTGAACACTGAGGAGGGTGTGGTGACCTTGTTGGAGTACCTGATGTTTCTGGGTTGGGTAATGAGAGTAATTAGAAACTAGGTGAATCACAGTTTTGAAAACTGACCCTAAACAGGGAACAGAAATTTCCACTTGTATGAATACTTTCAAGCTAGCTCCAGAGGAGTAGGGCCAAGAATTTACAGCATATGTCAATGTTTTCAAGTTCAGAGGACACTTAACTGGCAAATACTTCTGGGATTGGTTCAAAAGCCTTGAGTCTAAGGAAGAAAAGGAACTAACTTACTGAGATCTATTTTGGGCTAGGCTCTGTACTGCTTGCTTTCACATGTTATCTCATTTAATCCTCCTCCACACAGCCTTGTGATTGATGTCAGTGGTATATTCACTTCACAGAATTAAAAAATGAGATTTAGAAATATTGGATAACTTGCCCAGGGCCTCATAGCTAGTATGTGTCAAAGTCAAGATTTCAACATCCGAATGACTCTGTACTTAAAGTAATAGGTAAAGAAAAGGTGTGAGGAGTCCCTGGAATCATACTATGCCATAAGTCATTTTTCTCTCTCTTAATGCTTGTTAAATTTAATGTCACCACCTTTTTGTTTGTCTTTATTTCTCTTCTCTAGCCCTATTGAGAAAAAGATTTTCAGATTTCACTTAAATATTAACCACAGTTTAGAAATTATATTTATTACCCTATGATAGAAGGTATCTTTCTTGGTACAAAATTCAGGCTATTATGAATTTCTTCTGCATTCACTGATTTTTATAAATATAAGCTATGTTTACTAGGTGCATTATAAATTTGACAAACATGAGTGTTGTCTTGGCCTACAGACTTAAAGTAGCCATGTGATTAATAAAGGAATACAGGTCTGAGTGTATGTCCAAATATGGAACTTGACTGATATAGTGAAATTAGAAATGCAATTTTAGAAATAATTATGCCATTGTGTAAATGTTTACCTCTTATGAAGGCCTTGCTGCATTGCTTATAAAATTAGTTGAAGAATGAGAAAGCTTGTGTCTACAGCTGTCCTTTTTAAATTGTATGTGAAATATGTGCTTTTACACATAGATATTCATATTAAATTATTAATTTGCAGACCAATTTTGTTTCAGTTAACAAATGAGTTTATCAAATGTGGCTTTGAACTAAATTATTTTTAATTAAGGAGGTATTTGTGACCCAACATATTATTTCAAGTAGCTATGAGTAAAACTTGTTGTGAGGGAACAATTTAGGGCAAGCATCTGGTATCAGATAGAGAAGCATGCAATGAGCATCTGGAAGTTTATTTTTTTAATAAACAAATTAAACAGTCTCATTTGAGTTCATTTAGATTTTTTCAAATTTCTAATTACTAAGCTTTTTAAAATTTGTGAGTTGCAATTTGCTGCCTAGGACACGTAAAAGAAAAAAGTAATGACTTAAATATATTCACTCTTAGAATAGAATGTGAAACACTGACGTTTTCCTGCCAGTTCAAGATATCAGATGTTTTTTATTTAAGGGTACACTTTTTATTTTAACCTTTAGATTCCTTTACAACAATTATTATAGCAGAGGTGTTTCTTCTGCTTTCCATTGAGATTGATTTCTGCTTTGTCAGCTAAACTTTCATTGTTCACTTCCCTCACTTCCTGGCCTTCTGGTGGCCCATCCATTCATTTCCTGCTAGAATTCCTATCTCACATTTCAGTCTCCACCCTAGGTTAACATGACTTATACTTAAGCATATTGAAACTTGAGTTTATAAGAGAGTGCCTCTTAGAAATGATAGAAGTTGGGGGTGAAGAAGGCTGGCTGCTAGTTGAAAAATTTTCACCTATTTCCTGTAATGGTTGCTTCTCCAGTGGATCTAGATCTGGGAGTAACTATAAAATAGATAATTTTATTGATTTTTAATTTAATGATATTTTACAGATTCCTGCTTTTCATTTAGTTACAATAAAAAGTTTAAAGAGTAATATCGCAAACACCTACATACTCTTTGCCTAGATTTACCAGTTGTTAGCATTTTGCCACATTTTTACTCAATATATTTTTTATGTCCTCAATGAAATGAAAGTAAGTTACAGAAGACATACTTCATTCTAAACACTTCATTATCTTTATCTCATAAGAGCTAGGACATTCTCCTACCTAGTGGCAATACCATTATCATAGACAAAAAAAAAATGAAACTAATTCCGTATTGTTATATAGTATCTAGTTGAAATTCAAATTTTCCATATTATACAAAACATCCTTTATGGCTATTTTAAAAAATACAGATTACAATTAACTTTCAGTCACTGGATTTGGTTTCCACAGCTCTCTTAACTCTAGAAGTTATGCCCCTCCCTCCATATTGCCTTTTTTGAATAGTCCTGGCCAATTCTGTAGAATGGAATACTTCCTGGCTTTGTTTATTTCTTCCTTGTGTTGCTTAACTAATTCCTCTCCCCTTTATTTCCTGTAAACTGAAAATTAGGTCTGGATCTTGATTGGATTTAGAGTAAATATGTTTGTCATAAGTACTTCATAGGGAGATTGACCATTTTCCTATGTTTCTCCAGGATAGTTCTGTGACTTGTTGTGAAAGCATAATTATTATTAGTACCCCCTTTTCTCTCTGAAGTCTTCTTGTCTGGATAATAGATTAAATCACTATTTATAAATAATTATGTGCACTTCGTGTGGCCTCCCATCAGGAGGCCCATCAGGTTAGATTGGTCTACTATTTATAATACTAAATTTAATCACTTGGTGACTGCCAGATTCCTTTATTGTAAAGCCATGTTTTTGCCTTTGTAGTTAGTAAGTAATCTGTGGGATGATAATTTGAGACTGTGTGAATATCCTGTACCCTTGGTTTGAAAGTCCATTGATGATCCTTGACAGAATAAATTCTACATTGGGAATTATAATGCTAGTTCTATTTAAATGATTAAGTTGTTTTTTTTTAAGAAGCCATAATATAAAAGTACAATAAATGATTAAATTTTGACATAAAAGTAC